TCGGCGCGCCGGCCGGCGCCTCGACATCGAGCTCGTCCGCGGTGGCGTAGTCCTCCTCGTCGCTGTGGGCTTGACTGCTCGCTGCAGCCACCCGCGGGTCGGCCTCGCCTGCGAGATGAGCGTCGGCCTGCGCGATCAGCCTCCTCGCCGCAGCGGGCGACGCCTTGCTCGCAGCCTCGGCCTGCGAGATGAGCCAGGCGGTGGCGCGCTCGATGTCGTCGCCGTTGGCCTGCAGCGCCTTCTCGCACTGCCGCGCCGACTGCGACGTCACCGCGCGCAAGTGCTTGGCGAGCTCCCGCCGCGCCTTTTCGGGAAGCACGCGCTCGCCGCCTTCCCCGGCCTCAGCCTCCATCTGCGACGCGCTCGGCTCGGCCGGCTCGGCCGCCGCGCGCCCCTGCTCCTCCTCCTCCCCCCCCCCCTCGATCAGCGCCCGTTCGGCATTCTCGATCGCCGCAATCGCGCGCGTGGCGTCGAGTGGCTCGTGAAGGCCGTCGCCACTCGCCCCCTGCTCGCCGCCCTCTCGCTCCTTGACGTCGAGCGAGACGCCATGCCGCTCGAGCTGGTCGCGCAGCCTGTCCGCCGTCTTGTAGTCGCTCGTGTAGCGCGCCTGCTCGCGCTCCCGCACCAGCCGGTTGATCTCGGCGTCGTCGAGCGACGCGGCGCCCGACTTTGCCGCCTTTTGCGCGTGGATCTCCGACACGTTGACTTGCGTGATGAAGCCGGACCGGCCGTCCGCGGCGCGCCACATCTTGGCCTGGTCGTCGAGCGTCACCCCGAGCTTGGCCAGCTGCTCGCGGAGCCGGTCCGCCGCGTCAAAGTCGCGCAAGAAGCGCGCCTGCTCCCGCTTGGCGACGAGCGCCCGGACTGTCGAGTCGTCGGTGGCGCCGCCCCCGGCGCCCGCGCCGGTCCGCTTCGTGGAACCCTCCTCTCCGTCGTCGACAGCATCCGCCTCCTCCCCGCTGCCCTGCGCGTCGCCCTCGCCGTCCGAATCGACCGTCTCCCAACCGGACGAGCCCTCGCTGCCGTCGCCGGCGAGGCCGCCGCGCGACTCGCCCTCGTCGCCCTCGTCGAAGGACGCCGCGTCCTCCTCGACCGGCTCGTCGTCCTCCTCGGTGTTGACCACGTACAGCGTCTCCGCCGCCGCGCGCGACACGCGCCCGTCCATCCACTTGACGCGCACCGACGGCCCGATCTCCTTGACCTCACCCACCCACCGCAGCGCGGTGAAGCCGCCCTCCTCGGGGTCGCCCGTCGGCGCGCCCTCCTCATCCTCGTCGGCGGCGGCGGCCGCAGCTCCGCCCGCGAGGCTCGCGGCCCAACGCGTGGCTCGCGTGAGCAAGAGGCCCGAGAGCGAGTCCTGCCCGGCCCCGCCCGCCGCAGCCTCCTCCATTGGGGCCGCCGCCTCTGCGGCACCGTCGGCCGACGCCGACCCCTCCCCCTCCCCAGGGTCCGGGATCGACGGCAGCCGCAGCACCACGTCGCCAACCTTGAAGTTGAAGTCAGGGTGCGGCGCGATGTCGTACACAGGCACGACCTCTCGCCGCTGCTCGGCCTGACGAACGAGTCAGTCTCAATCAGCCAGTCATCATTAGCTAATTAGGCACCACCTCTCCCCGGTGCTCGGCCTGCGCGGCGGCGCCCTCGCCGTCGGCGGCGTCGGCGGCGTTGGCGTAGAGCATGGCGCGCGCCGCCTCGGCGTCGTTCAGCCGCCACGACACGACCGCGATCCGCTCGTCGTGGTCGACGGAGACGACCACCCCGACCTGCTGCGCCTCGCCCTCCGCGGCGCCCTTGCGAACCACAAAGTCCTGCGGCCAAAACTCGTAGTAGCCGTCGACATGCTTCGCCGGCGCCAGAGTGACCGCCTGCGAGACGACGGCGGCGCGAGCTGGATCACCCACGAATCGTGGACGCTCGCGCGCAATGCGCAGGCGCGGGGCTGCACACCTCGGCAGCTTCTCGGCTGCATCATCTCGCACCCCGGCTGCATCTCGGCTGCATTTCGGCTGCATCTCGGCTATATCACGGCTGCATCTCGGCTGCATCTCCTCTCTCTCTCGCGAGGGCAGCCGCCTCCGCGTCCGCCGTGCGCTTGCCATCCTGCCAGTGCACGTCCACGCGCGTGTGGCATCCAACCACCTCGACGCACGCGTCGCTCGGCGCAACCTTCTTCTTGCGAGACTTCTTCGCGCCGCCGGGCTGGCTGCCGCCGTCGGCGCCGCCGCCGCCGTCGGCGCCGCCGCCGCCGTCGGCGCCGCCGCCGGCCGCCGCCGCCTCAGCCTCGTCTCGGAGGCGGAGCAGGTCCTCGGCGCCGAGAGCAGCGTGCTCTCCCAGCCGCCAGCAGCGGCGCGCGTGGTGGTCGAGCAGCTCGATGAGGCGCGACGGCCGCTGCATCTCGGCGGGCGGCTCGATCGAGGCCGCGGGCTCGCTGCCTTCCGACGGGATGGCGGCCAGCCAGCGGACCAGCGCCTGCGCCGCATGGACCTTGGAGACGGTTGCGTGCTCGTTGGCGTACGGCGCACGGAACGACCCCTTGAGCCACTTTGCGCGGCGCAGCGTGTCGCGCGTGCCCGAGACGCTCATCGACGGCCAGAACCACGTCTGCTCGTCCATCGTGGGGGAGTGGACGGCGAGTGAGTTTGCGCTCGTTCGCATCACCTTACAGCTGGCGCCGTCTTCCCACGCGAGCTGCACGTTGTCGTACACCTCGTCCACGCGGCCCAGCCACCGCGCCTGCGTGGAGCGGGGGGGGGGGGGCGTTGGAACGGGGCGGGGCGCGATCCGGCCCGCTGCGGCCCCTCTCTGCCAAGCATGTCTTTGGGACGGCTCCGCCGCCTCGCCGCGCCGCCACCTCCCCCCTCCCCCCGCCCCTCGCGCATAGCAGACCTCTCTCCCCTCGGGGAGGCGGGACCAAGGGCCCCCCGGCGCACCTGCGAGTGCAAGACGAGTGCGCCCGGACGGCACGCGGCGAGCGGCCGCAGCAGCTCAGTCGCGACGCGCCGCAGGACGAGGCCGTCGGCGCAGCGGACGTCGCAAAACATGCGCATGCCGGTGACTATGCCCGTCTGCCCCAGCTGTGCGTCCGTACGCGACACGATGTCCCCCAGCAAGAACACACGGTCGGCCAGCCGCAGCTCGCTTATGTACTCGGTCGTCGGCGCCTCTTGCGTCGACCAGTGCACCCGCGCGGAGCCCGGCGCCAGCTTGTCGCCGCCGGCGTTGTCGTCGATGATGTCGTCGATGTCCTCGTCGTCCTCGTCCTCGTCGTCCGACGAGTTGGGGGCCCGCTCGACGAGCCCGATCTCTTCCCCCTTGACGACGAGGTCGTCTGTGAATATCTTCTGGGCGCTCGGCATGTCCTGAGAAGTGGGGTGAAGGACGCGCACAGCTGCGAACCGGTAAAGAAAGCCCGGGCTGCTGAGGCCGAGGACGAGAGGCCGTTTGCCGCTTGCTTGCTTGTTCTTGATCCAGTTGGTGCGCACAGTGCGCGCCTGCTTGTTGATGTTTCCAGCGTTCGCCCGCCACCGCCGCCATGGAGATCTGCTTGCTGCGTGTGGTGGACGACGAAGGAGGAGGCGCTCGCCGACGCCGCCCCGTACACCGTCCGGTCCGTGTTGGCGGGCTTCCTTGGCGAACACGTGGAGGAACTGCTTGGTGGGCGGCGCAATGCCACCCAAAGTTTCCACGAGCACCAGCCGCGTTATGGCTTTCTTGACCCACTTCGCGTTGTAGTACTGCGCCCCCGTCCACTTGAGGCTGTATTCTTCTTGACCCACCCGTCTCCACCGTGGTCTTTGACCCATCCCTTTCCAGTCGAGTGGTCGAGCGGTCCGTCCACCTGACGGCCACGCTCCTTGCACCCCACGACCGCCGTCAACGCCTTGTCCACAGCGTGTTTCCAAACCCGTAGAGGTGGCCCACCGACGCCACACGGTTTGTGATGCGTCGGACCGTCGGCGGTGTGTCCACGAATAAAAGTAATAAAAGACCAGGTATCTATTCGCCGACGAGGTGTTTGGCTTCGGACACGACGCGCACAACCTCGTCGAGCGTTGCGCTCGTCTTGAGGGACTTTGTCTCGCTGTGCGCCTGCGCGGCCCCAAAGCCGGCGCCGCGCAGCAGCGGCAGCAGCGCGGCGAGCGGCGGCTGGCGCAGATCCCGCTTGGCGAGCGCGCGCTGCACCCAGCCGGTCCGGCTCGCTCCAGCCGCGTCCCGCCGCGTCGCCTCGCATCCCCGCCACGAAGTCGGCGTCGTGCATCGGCCCGACCCACATCGGCCCCATCACCTGCGGCGCCTCCCTCGGCGCCTCGCCCCTCTCTGAGCAGCAGCTGCACGGCGGCGCGAGGGCGGCGGCGTCCCCAAGCCGCGTCGAGGGCACACGCCACACCTCGCCGCAACTCGGGCAGCGAGCGACGTGCGAGAGCGCCGCGAAGGCCGAGGCGGGCGGCCTGCGCAGGTGCAGCCGAGGGAAGGTTCCGAGAGACTTCACGGAAGGTTCTGCCTCTCGGCTGTCTCTCGGCTGTCTCTCGGCTGTCTCTCGGCTGTCTCTCGGCTGTCTCTCTGCTGTCTCTCGGCTGTCTCTCGGCCAGATCTCGGCCAGATCTCGGCTAGATCTCGGCAAGATCTCGGCTAGATCTCGCCGCTTCGCCGCGTCGAGCCGCATCATCACGCGGAACGTGGAGGAGGGGCGGTGGAAGAAGCTGAAGACGGGCGAAGCGGTGAGGTGCCTCGCCGCCGCCTCACGCCCCGCCGTGCCGACGAGCAGCCGCAGGCCCGCCTCGTTGCAGCCAGGGAACTTGTGCGTGACAGCGGCGTACCCGGCTGCTGCCTGGACAAAGAAAAAACTTCCCAGCAAAACAAAACCAAGCGCCGCACCCAAATTTATATATATATGGTGTCGCTCTCGCCGCCCGCCGCGCTCGCCACGCGGGCGTGGGTGCAGCGGGTCGTCGTGGGCCTTGCGCTCTGTCCGTGGGCCCAGCCGGCCGAGCAGGCCGGAAAAATCCGCTACGCCGTCACCGCTGCGGCAACGGCCGGCGACCTCCTGCTCGCGCTTGAGACGGAGGTGCGCCGGCTGCAGGCCGAGCCGGGGCTCGAGACCACGCTGCTCGTGCACCCGCAGGCGCTGCGCTCGTGGGAGGAGTTCTATCCGTGGGTCGGCGGAGACGCAGAGGCGTGGCTCGAGGACGCGGGGCTGGACGACGCGTTCCAGGTGGTCGGCTTCCACCCCGGCTTCTGCTTCGCGGGCGAGGAGGCGGACGACGCGTCGAACTGGACGAACCGCTCGCCGTTCCCGATGACGCACATTCTGCGCCAGGACTCCGTCGAATCGGCGATCGAATCGCACCCGGACCCGCAGGCGGTGCCCGAGGGCAACAAGTGTGTGCTCCGCCGGATGGGCACGGAGCGCTTGCGCGAGCTCGTGCGGCGGTGTGTTGACGAGGGATGAGCAGGCCCGCCGCCTTCGCTGCCGCCGCCCTCGCCCCTCCGTCGCTCCACCCCGCCCATCTCCCATCTCCGCCCTCGCCGCCTCGCAGGCGCAGATGGTCGCCGGCGAGCCTGTGACGGAGGCGGAGGGGGGCGCGAGACTAGCCGAGAGATGTGGCGAGATGCGGCGAGGTGCGGCGAGGTGCGGCGAGGTGCGCCGACAGGTTCGGCCACAGCGCTGTGTGTTTCCCCGCCGCCCCGATCGGCATGCTCATCGGCCACACCGCGGCCACCGCCGAAGGGGCGGAGAGCCCGTTGCCGCTCGCCTTTAACGCGCTGGCGGCGGGCACCTTCCTCCAGATGGGCGCAGTAGAGGTGCTCGCAAGCGAGATGATGGGAGGCCACGGCAAGTGCCCCGGCATTGTCAAGTACCTCTTCGCGATGATGGGATTTGCCACCATGGCGATCATCGCCAAGTACGCCTAGGCTCTCTGCCCGCGGCCGCGCCCTGATGACGCTGAGCTGCCGGGCAACAGCTCGGTTGGGGAGCTCTAGAGGACTAGAGCTCCCTCTCCACCCCTTCCTTGCGACAGAACACAGCGAAGTGGAGAAAGTGACTTTGTTGAGTGATTCTGAGATTAGGTGAGTTGTTTCCCCTTTTTGGAGGCAGACACTTCACTTTTTTCAGAAACGAGAAAGCGAATCCCCCCGGGGCCGCATCTGCCCGCTCGAAGCGGGGAACCCGTCCCGGGCGCCCGCTCGAAGCTCCCAGCAGCAGCGCTCTGCTGCTGGGGGGGTGGACCGTGGACCCCCCCCCCCCAGCAGCAGGGACGCCTCGGGTTAGTGTGAAGTGCAGCTGCAGGGGGCGTACTGAGGTCTGAGCAATGTGCAGCCGCTCTTGTGGATACGTAAAAAATACGCAGGCTAATTTTGTGTTCCTCCTCAAAAAGGCTCGTCGGGGGGTAAAGCCGTGTCGCGTGTGAGGAGTGTTGTGTGTGTGTATACTCTACGGTGAGCTCCGCGTATATGTAAATGACACCGCCTTTTCTCCTTCCCCGCTCTCGAAACAACTGACGCTACCGCGAGACGTATGCTGCGGTTGGTCGACGAGGCGGTGCGCTGGCGGCCGGCACCGGGTGGCTGGGGCGCGCTCCTCCCCGTCAAACCGCAGGCAGCGCCAGCCCGACCACCCGTGGCGTCAGTGCATCGGTGGCGGCGTCGCCCTCCGCCGTTCCCGGCGGCCCAAAGCACAGCTCAATCTCCACCACGCACGTGAAGCCTCCGGCGCCGGCGCAGAGTCCCCTCGCGGCGGCTCGCGCCGCGGCCCACGCGGCGGTGCGCAGCGCCTCTGCGTCAGCCGACCTCCACCGCACCTTGCGCCACGCGTCCTGGTCGTCGGCGAACGCATCGTAGCCGCCGCCTCCGCGCGGCGCGCCGCCGGAGCTGCAGTAGATCTTGCCGAGGCTCCACAGCAGCGACGCGAGGTCGCGGTGCCCGCCCAGCGCGCCCGGACAAGGCACCGAGAGGTCGAGGCAGAGGAGCGCGCCCGACGTCGCGACGGCGGTGGTGTGGGACACGGAGATGGAACCTTCGGCAGCGTCGGCCGCACCGATTGCGCCGTCGGCAGCGGCGCCGTCGGCAGCGATTCGAAGCGCCGTGGCAGCGTCGGTCGCCCGATCGCTGGAGGGCGGCGCGAGGGCCTGGCCCCGCGCGCTGAGGTTCCACTCGCGCCGTTGCCGCTGCAGCGCCGCCTCGCTCACAAGCCAGGCCGAGATGACCCGAGATGACCTGAGATGACCCGAGATGACCCGAGATGAGGTCGCCTCGCACACGGGCCAAGCCCTCGCGCCGGCCGCGTTCTGCAGAAAGATAAGAAGCGAGCCCGTCTCGCCGAGCACGTAGCGGGGCGAGGCGCTCGAGGCGAGGTGCTGGAAGCCGTCGAGGTACCGGTGCTCCTCCTTCGGCAGAGTACCCGAGATTACCCGAGATTACCCGAGATTGCCCGTCGAGGCACCGGTGCTCCCCTCCTTCGGCAGCTCGAGGACGTGCGAGAGGTGCGGGCTCGCCTCGGCGGCGCGCACAAAGTCGGCCGGCTGCGGCGAGCGCCAGTCCGGAACGACGAGGACGAAGCTGCCGGGGCAGCCCGCCGGCCTGCTGGCGAGCTCGGCGTCGATCGCCCGCACCGCCATCGCCATGATTCCGTCGTCGTACGGCGGCCCGCACTCTGCCTGTGGGGAGATATGGGGAGATCTGGGGAGATCTGGGGAGATTAGGCGTACGGCGGGCCGCACTATGCCGAACGGACGCCCCGCAGCCCGCCGCTGCGCGCCACGGAGAAGAAGTTGCCTAGATGCTGAATACGCCTCACCTCGGGGCGGGAAGACGGTACTGAGCAGTGAATTCAGAGCACTGTGCGGAACGAGCGACAGAAAGACAGTGCATACAGAGGAATGCGGTCGAGTACAGCGGAGTCCGTGTCCTCTCGAGCGCTGGTTGGAATGCAAGAATACTGTGCTCCGCGTCTAGAGCAGGCTGCCGCTCGAGCCGAACGGCGCGTCCGTGTCGGCGAATGCGGAGCAGAAGCGTGCGTGCCGCCGATTCATCGGAGAGGCAAAGCACTCGAACCCGACGCCGAAATCGGCACCAAGCTGCGCCATCGCGCCGGGCGGCGTGGCGAGCTGCCAGCCTCTCCCTTCCGAGGGTTAGGTGCGGGTTAGGTACGGTAGGTTTCTCCACACACCACAAAGTGGTGGGGCAAGGGCCAGGCAATCCCTCGCATCTCCCCCGGACGCGGGCAGGAGCTGGCACGGCGTTCAACGTGCAAGGCCCGGTGCGCGTGGGTGAGCCCACCTTCCGAAGAGCGAGGCCCGAAGAGCGTCGCGTAGCGCTGCAGCAGCAGGGAGAGGCGGTCACAACACATCACCTCTCTCTCTCTCTCTGTCTGTCTGTCTGTCTGTCTATCTCTCTCTCTCTCTCTCTCTCTCTGTGTGTGTGTGTGTGTCTCTCCACTGCCCCCTCTCTGTCTGTCTGTCTTATTGCAACACACCTGCAGCAGCAGGAAGAGGCGGGCGTTGAGCTCACGCGCCGCGCCTTTGTACCCCTCCTTCAGCTTGGCGAAACACTCCCCGTTGAGGGCGTGCTCCGCGCGCTGACCCTCCGGCCGCGGCTCGAGGCGCAAGCGGCAACCACCCCGCTGCTCCGCCGTCGCAACCACACACAATCGTCGAGAAGGGTAGGAGGGCTGCGTTGCGTGGACGCCGCCCTCGCCGCCGCCGCCCTCGCCACCTCCTCCCGCGCCGCCGCCTCCCGCGCCGCCGCCTCCCGCGCCGCCGCCACCGACTCGGCAGCGACGCTGTAGCTCCCGGCTCTGCGCCCCGCCGCTGCCGCGGCCGAGTGGCTCGCGAGCCGCAGCCAGCTGCGCGCGCCGCAGCTGCCACTGGCTGCGCAGCCACGAGTCCAGGGCAACTGCGTGCCGCTCGACGAGGGCGGAGTCCTCAGCCTCCCCCGCGCGCGCCCGCGCGCGCGCAAGGTACTTCGCGAGCGGCCAAGCCGCGCCGCAGTGGCCGCCGGCGCCGGCCGCTGCGTCCGCGTCGACGAGCGGCACGAAGAGCTGCTCGTCGCCGGACTCCACCAACCCACCGGCGTGGCTGCGGGCGAGCTGGGTGAAGATCCAAGCGTTGAGCGTCTCGTTGGGCGGCTTGCGGCCGCTGGCGGCGGCGGCCTGAGCGGTGAATACGCCAACGTGAGGGCGGGAAGACGGTATTGAGCAGAGTATTCAGAGCACTGTGTGGATATGAGCGACAAAAATACAGTGAGCAATAGAATGCGTATTCCGCTTCTAGGGCGGCCGCCTCTGCCTCAAACGCCTTTCGCAGCGTGAGCATCAGCGCGGCGCGGCGGCACTCGAGGAGGAGGAGCGAGCTGAGCTGATCGTCGCCCTCGCTGCTGCAGCCGAGGCGCTCGACGTCTGGGAGGCGGACCGTGGCGAGGAGGGGCGGGCAGCGCCGCAGCATCAGCCCGATCCGGCCGTTGCCCGCCTCAAAGCGCAGGCATGCGGCGCCTCTCGGCATCAGCTGGCCGACCGCCTCAACCGCAGACTGGAGCCAGCGCGGAGAGGCGAGCCGCACTGCCCCCGGCAAGTCGGGAAGCGGGCAGTCGTCGACGCTGTCCTCGCCATCCTGGCCAAAGAAATCGTCGCCGGGAGCGTCGGGCAGCGCACGCAATCCGCCGCACCGTCGCTGTTCAGTGCTGAGGAGCTCTACAAGCCCGCGTGCGAGGGAGGAGATGACAGCTTCGGTGCTCCCTCTGGGGATGCAGACGGCTGCAGTTGCCGGAGCACCTTCAGAACGCAGCAGCGCGAGCAAGGCCGTGCGGGAAGAGCCGGCGTCGGCAGAGCCGGCGTCGGCAGCCTCTGGCCAGTCGGAGGCCCAGTCAGGCATGGGCTACCTCAGCTGGGCTACCTACTGCGTTGCGTTTTTCTAGCGTCTGGGACTCCGGCAGGCTAAGGGCCTCAAATTCTTTTCTGACAGGTCGGTGGAGGGCGTGGATTGGTGGGTCGACGAGGGGCCCGAGTGGGGCTCGGCGGAGCTGGAGGAGGAGTGGCGCGCCGCGTCACAGGTACGACATCCTCGACCCCGTGTGTTCACAGCAGTGGGCGTGAAGAGACGCTGTTCACACCTCACAGGTACGACATCCTCGACCCCGCCCTCACCCGGCCTGGCCGCTTCGACCGCCTCGTGCGCATCGAGCTGCCAGACGAGGCGGGGGCATATAGCCGAGACATAGCCGAAATACGGCCGGTACACAGCCGAGATGTAGCATCGAGACGGGGATCTAGCAGGGCAGACGCCACTCCAAGAGTGGCACCGCACCGGAGACCGCGCGCTGAGACAGGCGGGGCGGCTCAACGCCCTGCTACCACACCACCCACGGGACTGATCCCACACTGGATTCGAGACTCTGGAGGTATGGTAGGCGGGGCGGCTCAACACGCTGCGCGTGCACACCAAGTCCCTCGCCCTCGCCCCCGACGTCTCGCTACGCAAGGTTGCGGCCGCGACGCCAACATTCTCAGGCGCCGAGAGGCTGCCGAGAGTCAGCCGAGAGTCAGCCGAGAGGGAGCCGAGAGAGAGCCGAGAGATCGCTCGGAGATCGCTCGGAGATCGCCGAGGTATGCCGTGACGCCCATTCTACTTCCCCCCCCCCCCCCCCCTTTCTCTGGCGGTGGAAAACGGCCCTGCCCCTCCCTCCCCGCGACGCTGCGCTCACCCCGCCCCGTCCTCCCCGCGCTCGCGAAGGTCCTCGGCTAGTGTTGCTTGCCAGGCGCCTGGCCCCTCTACTGCTGCCCCCTCCCTGGCAATACGGCGGGGCCACTCTCCTGCGAGCTTGCGTGAGGAGTGGGGGGGTGGGAGAGCAGCTGACCACGGGCGGGCGGCGGCGGACTCCGGCTCGCGTGTGGACCATGGACTCCGCTGCCGTACGCCAGCGCAACGCGCGCAGTCCGCGATGACATCGTGCGGGTTCGATGCGAGAGGGAGAGAGCGAGAGCGAGAGCGAGAGAGATGTTCCTATGCGCGAAAAAGCACATTCATTCAGGTTTAGTGGAGTTATAGCCGACAGGCCGGCGCCTCCGCCTGCGCCGCCTCATCAACGACAAGGCTCATGACCCT